AACTATGATTAAATTTAATTATGTTTTTAATGATGAAATCAATGCATAAGCCAGACCTAGGCTTGACGAGCCAGACCTGCTCTTATATTAAATACACTGCTCAAAAAAAATAAAGAAACACTTTGAAAACACATCAGATCTCAACAGGGAAAAAATCATGCTGTTTATTTATACTGATATGGACTGGGTGATGTGTTAGGAACAAAGGATGCCGCATCATTTGATCGAAATCAAAATCCAAAGACACCCCAAAAATTACAGTGAAAAATGATGCGGTGGGCTAGTCCATTTTGCTGAAATTTCATTGCAGCAACTCAAAATGGTATTCAGTAATTTGTATGGCTCCCATGTGCGTGTATGCATGCTTGACAATGTCGGAGCATGCTCCTAATGAGACGACGGATGGCGGCCTGGGGTATCTCCTCCCAGATCTGGACCAGGGCATCACTGAGCTCCTGTACAGTCTGAAGTGCAACTTGGCGGCCTCGGATGGATCGAAACATAATTTTCCAGAGGTGTTCTATTGGATTTAGGTCAGGCGAGTGTGGGGGCCCATAAATGGTATCAATTCCTTCATCCTCCGGGAACTGCTTGCATACTCTCGCCACATGAGGCCAGGCATTGTCTTGCACCAGGAGGAAACCAGGACCCACTGCACCAGCATAGGGTCTGATAATGGGTGCAAGGATTTCATCCCGATACCTAATGGCAGTCAGGTTGCCGTTGTCTAGCCTGTATAGGTCTGTGTGTCCCTCCATGGATATGCCTCCTCAGACTGACCCACCGCCAAACCGGTCATGCTGAGCGATGTTACAGGCAGCATAATGTTCTGAAGCATAATGCTTCTCCAGACCCTTTCACGTCTGTCACATGTGCTCAGGGTGAACCTGCTCTCATCTGTGAAAAAGCACAGGGCACCAGTGGCGGCCTTGCCAATTCCGGTGTTCTGTGGCAAATGCCAATTGAGCTCCACGGTGCCGGGCAGTGAGCACAGGGCCCACTAGAGGATGTCGGGCCCTTAGGCCAGCCTCGGCAGTGCTCCTCCTGCTCCTCCTTGCACAAAGGAGCAGACACCGGTCCTGCTGATGGGTTGTAGACCTTCTACAGCCCTGTCCAGCTCTCCTGGCGTAAATGCCTGTCTCCTGGAATCTCCTCCATGCTCTTGAGATTGGGCTGGGAGACACAGCAAACCTTCTGGCAATGGCACATATTGATGTGCCATCCTGGATGATTTGGACTGCCTGTGCAACCTCTGTAGGGTCCAGGTAGCGCCTCATGCTAACAGTAGTGACAGTGACCCTAGCCAAATGCAAAACTGGCAAAAAAAGAGTCAGAAAAGATGAGGAGGGGAAAAAATGTCAGTGGCCTCCACCTGTAAAATCTGTAAAAGGAGGTACTAGGGCTCTGAGCAGGAGCAAGGAGATGAGAAAGGAACAAGAAGTTTAATCCATCTTTTCCATTAATCATCATGGTGTGAGATCTTTAGGAAACGTATTAGAAGAACTCCAAGCCCTTGCAAAGACCCAGCCAGAATATCAGCAAAACAGCATTATGTGTTTTACTGAAACATGGCTCCCAGATCATATCTCGGACTCAACGTCCCTCTGCCAGGGTTTCTGACCAATACATTTCTGATATTTATTGTTCGATTAAAAGAAAATAGGGGACTTCTCTTTAGACATTCTTCTAAGTTCTACTTTAGACCTGTGGTCTAAAGTAGAACTCTCTCTCTACATTTCTTCTCTTTAAAATGGACCATATTTAAAGGATGCCTTCAGCTTTTGGCTAACAAATTACATGCATGATAAGCAGAAACGTCTATGATTTATAAAATCTGCCAGACAAGTCCTGTCAATGTAAACTCTTGCATGTTTCTTTATGTTTTAGTGATCAATGAGCCATGTTTACTATGTTAGTGGAGTGCCATTGTTATGGAAAAAACTCATCATAGTCATTGATAAAAACAATGTTTCTGACATGCAATATTGACTGTGGGATTGTGTATAGATATGTGTAAACTTATCCCGACGTGTCTAATCACCGGAATTTTAACTTTTTCTGTGGGTGGATTTCCAATGGAGCTGTAGAAAAATATTAAGGAAGATCGGTGGAACACTATGTACCTCAGCTTAACATTGACCTTCATGATAAAGGCTGTATTTAAACAAAGAAATTAATTTGACAACATTTGGCTAATAAGGCTGTTAAATACCTAAAAATAGAAGAAAATACTCAGTGATTTACTGAATCTTTGTTTTGAGAGCCAACTCTTTATGAATTTCGCATAGAAAAGATATTTCCTGAAAATGTTTTTTTTTTTTTTTTTGGATTCGTAAGGCTTTATAATGTTGCCATTATAATCTTAACTTTTGAGGGAATCACTCTGATCTGAATGTCATCTATTTAAACTGGTTTAAACTTGCCCTACAGTTTCTGGTCAATAAAAGTACCTTTCATTAGCATAGTTTAGCTTTTCATTTTGTCACATTGTTTTGAAAGCATATTCAGATAAATAAAAAACATGTCTCAGGGTAAAGGATGTAAGACACTCTCAAACATGCAAACACTGCCAGAGGAATGGGGTGGAATGCAGATCAGATGTCATCCAAAGTGCACATTCTGGCCTGTAGAAAAGGACATATTTAGTTACCGTACCTACAAGACTGTATGTGTATGTGCACATCTAAGCACTCATATCCAAAAGAGCTCTTGACCTTGTTATAGAGGAATGCTAATGACTCTAAGGTTAGACCTACTATGACCATTAGTACGGCTACTGAGGCATTGTCCCTGGAATCTCATTGGCAACCTGCTCATTTAATTAGCTGCACCTTTGTCTTGTTATTGCTTTGCAGGAAATGAGCACAGAACTTTCTGCTATTGATGCACCTGTTTTTCTACATCTCGTTTAGTCTGAAAGCTAAGGGCCATTTTTAGATGTTGGGTCTAAAATAATAAGTTTTTGACAAAGTTCTTAGGCCAGTGTTGACAGCTTGACAAAAGTATCATTCACTGAGTCATCATAGACAAATATACAGAAAAGCTCTCTGTACTTGTATCTATTT